TTCCAGAAACACATAGTAAAACCAATAATTTAAATGTATAACATACAAGTCTAGGTCATCCTATCTACCAGTGCTTCTACATGGAAGAGCTCCCATCTTCCCATTTTGTCCACAATTCCCATACGCATGTAATATACTGTAACCGAACTGTATACCCCATACTTCAGGTAGAGGGTGTTACCTGTTAAAAACATGCAGCCATCACCCCATAAAAGCTTAATTAATTGCATTCCACAGATGGCAGCTTGCATGGTTCATCAGTCAGTTTGTTTACAGTGCGTAGAAAATGTTTTTCCAGCACTGCTTTATACTGAAAATGATGTTAGAAAAGGCATACCAAGAGTAATTTAGCTCATTCTACAATCACTTTTTCTTCCTGGAAAGCCATATATCATTTGTATATAGCCTTTTTATTGATCAGAGTTGATCCAATCCAATTAAATGATCTGCAGTTCATAACGTTTTTGCTTTCCTTAGGAGGCTGCATTGCATGTTCCAGAATCCAAAAGAATAACTTATTACCTAAAGCCAAGACTTTAAAAATTATCTGTGATTCTGGACGTTTCAGCTTCCTAGTATCAAATTTCAAGCATTTCAAACAGGGAATGCAATTCTCTAGACGTATTCAGAAACCACAATGGCTTTTGGCAAAGTAATCATGTGCACAAAGCAAACACTTCAGTGGCTGGCTACTCATGAAACTAAGAGCATATTCATCAGCCGCTGAAACCCAGATAATAAAGTCTGAAAGAAGATAATGTATTTCTAGGGATATTTTCACTGATGGAGAAGAATTTTTTAAAAAATACCCCCCATACTGAATTTATAGCAGTTATGAAAACCAAGCTGAAGTCCACAGGAATGTTTCTATATGGATTTTATTCCAAAGAATCCAAATCTTCTGCAAATGTTGTGGTAGCTATGTTCAATCTGATAGCCCATGGTTTTGGCACATGTATTTATTGACACTGCTAATGATTAATCCATTAAGTGATATGGGTTGCTTCCAGAACTTTCAAATCTGTTTCTCCCTTCATATCTGGCTTTACATATTTTGTATGGCTGTTAACATATGGATAAGAGCTCTGCTTTGATTTCCCTTTCTATTTTCTCAGAGACAAGTAAACATAAGAAAGTATTCTGGGCCCAAATGTATTTGATTTCTAACCTAACTAAACCATAACTATGACTTTATTGTAATATTTGTATACACGTATATTTCCACTTCAGAATTCACTAGCAAACTTACTAATTTACTTGCAAATTTTAGCTTTGGGTTCTCGAATGCTTGGTGAAAGCGAATTCTGAATAATATATACATTTCCAAAATTCAGAATAAAAATGTGTCAGTTGTTCAGTTCATCCACTGAAAAAAACCCAGAGACATTATTTCAAAACTCTATTGCAAAACTCCGGAAACATGAATTCTAACACTACTGGTTTATACTGCTGGTAAGTTACATGAATTGTCCGGTGAGAAAATGAAAACAGTACTGTGTGACTTGGGTGAAATGACATACCACTATAAAATGGATGGTGAGTATTTACAGGAAATTAGAGAATGATCTGAAACCAGTAATTATTAACTGCATAAACTTGCAAATTATCAAATGGTAAATAGTTGCCAAATGATTTTGTAACCATTTGTGAATAATTGCTAGGGAACACAGGTGGAATGTATCTAATTAATTTTATTACTTGCACTTAACTTTGCTCAGAATCAGGTTTTGATTTTATTTAACCATAGCTGGGTGTAAAAATAAAAAAATTGACAGAAAGTGAGTATAAACATAACCATTAATCCAGAAGAACTGTACTGGTCTATCCCAGAATGACTGTTTTGTGTGGTACAATGATGGAGTCTAGCTATTATAAATGAGTATTGTCCCAGTATTTCAGGTCATATACTGTATATAAGCACTGATTGCTGACTTTGATTTTGCAGTAACAAGAGAATAAACTGTTGTTACCCTTCTTTCTAATAGTCTCTTCAAAGGAATACTTCCATTTCTCTTGGCTGAATTCAGAAAATGTCTGCAATAATCAGAGTGATTTTTCTCTGTGCTTTAATAAAACTCATGGCTTTGCAGCTGCCTAGACTTAGCATTCAATCCACTGTTTGTTTTAATTTTCTTTTTAAAATACATAAGATTTTCCTGTGGTGTTATAGCATGTTATAGCAAGTAACTTCCCTTTTACTGTTTTTTTTTTTTTTAATTTCTGATATTAATAATTTGATATTTCCTTAGATTTCATGTTTAAGGATGCTAACAACCATTATAATTCACCCCCTGGAATCATCTCTGTGGATGGTCTATAGGAAAATGAGCTGAATATTTGCCTTACCTTGTTCTGTTTACATGGATCTGTTCTCAGTGAAAAAGTCCATTTTTGGTAGGTCAAAGGATGACTAATGAAACAGCCAGTTTAAATAACAGGCTAATCCATGGCAACCTTCACATTTCAGCAGCAGATATCTGCAAGGTAAAGGACTCATTTGTTCCATAACCAGTTCTAAGAATTCAAGATGACTTTAAATAAAGATATTTTGATGTACATAACACAGATGTTCATGCATTGTCACACAACTTCTGTGGCTTATGTGACGTAAAGCCTGCATCTGTAAGCAGCATGGCAAAAATGTCATGCCATTGACTATGATCATGCTTCGCTAACAGCCTAAGGTTTTTCTGGCTTTGATCTACATTGCTGGTAGTGATAATAGTGGAGGGAGGGATCTTTCTTTTGTTTCAATTTCACATACAAGGACTGACCTTCCGTAATTGTTCATGCAACAGCTGCAGATGTAACATTAGGTGAGAGCTAGCTGCACAATCTAAATGACAGTTCATGGCAATAGCTGCAAAGCAATGCCAGGAGTCTTAACAGTGGCAACTGTGCAGAATACCTACCCTCCTGCAACATTTTCATCCTATATCTGCTTTTGCCACCAGCAGTGTCCTCCCCTTCCTTTTCACTAGCCTGCTAATATCAGGACTTAGGTATATAGACTTACAATATTTCAATGCCCCTGGATGTTCCCACAGCTCTGCATAAGCTCTTCCTTTTCAGGACACAGCTATCTCAAGAGTGCAGCTTCCAAAACAACATGGCTGTCACCGAGTAGGCAGCTGCAAGCAACTCTTGTCTTCAACTAGGTGAACTTGATGACAACTGACAACTGACCTCTGTGTATAAATGGCTTTCACAGTTCTGTTGAGCTTTGTTATCACAGTCTTGCTGCTATATCCTGTAATAGTGCCTTGGTAGCCACTGCCCGATCTGTTCAAGAAACTCTGTGAGCTTGGTGCCCTGCATGCATTTCATTTCTACACAACTTTTGATGTGTATTTATTATTGTTATTAATATTTATTATGAATTATTATTCCCAGAGTTACATTCCCATGCTGCTACACTGGGAAATGTGCTTATATTTTTGTACTCAAGTACAAACAGCCTATGACTACAAAAAGTCTATTATTACCAAATTACCATCCTAAGCATCTAAGTATGTTCTTGATTCAGCCCACAAAAATGTACCAAAAATGACATAGTTTAGATCATATTCCTATCACTGATGTGAGGATTTTGATAGTCGCACTTTTAATGAAACACTGCACCATCATTATTTCTAATTTCAATTATGTGCCTCCACAGAGAAAGCAACAATAGCAGCAACGCAAACATTACAAAGACTTCAGCCCATTTACTTTTTGCACAATGTACAGTCACAACAAAATGCTACAATGTAGTTGTCACTAACAGCAGTAGCTGTTTCCTTCATTAATGCTGCTCTCAGCACACAACCTGGCATTGTTCTGCAGGAACAGCATGAGCTGGAAGCATGTTTACCTCTTATGTGTACACATGCATTAGGATGCTGTAGCATTAACTAAGGAAGCTACAAAGTAGTACAAAAGACATGTAGGTCCCTTACGAATTGCTTCATGGATTTTGAGAAATTTCTCTGTACTTTCATCAAGATGAACTTGGCAAAATCTAATTAATCCAGAAGAAGGACAATTCTAAAAGTCCTACCTATTCTTCAGGATGCATTGTGCCATTTATTTTGTAACATGAGGAACGGAAGGGGTGTTAATAAATGAGATGCTGCTACACTCCTGAACATTATTTTCATTTCCTAATTTAGAAGGCTAGCTATCAAAAAAACAGGCCAGAAAGGGTTCAGAGGAGAGACTATAGCAAGGAGGGTGTTTGTAGCAGAAGTGCTGACTGGCACCTATCTGGCAGCAGTGAATTTGATGGTAAGGCATTTCCAAGTTGCCCACTTAAAAGTCATGGGTACGAAATATCCTGGTATTTTGCTCCTTCATTATATTCTTTTTCACGGCATAATACAGTTTTGTCTGGATTGTAACATACACATCTTTATAACTCACTTCTCATTTTGTGTTTGTATTCAGACAAATATTTCAGCTGGAATGTGGTATTCATATGATAACAACAACAATTTATTGGCATAAAAATGTTTGTCAGGAGAGAGCAGGCCTTAGGCATGGGGAGAGACCATGTTCTTTGAAGGGAACTGGATAATTTGCATCCAGTGAGACCTGTTTCAGGATAGCTCAGTCCAGAGGAACTCCTCTAACAAACAGTGCTGGGAGACTGGTTCAGTAAACTTTCCTGATTTCTACCAGTAGCTATTCTTTCCAATACAGGCACCGCCCTTGCAACGGTGTGGACATCTACCTTTAGTTCTCTTCCACCTCCATTTGTTTTCCAGTTACAAGAGAAGACTAACAAGTCTCATTCACTACATCTAAAGCTACAGCTTTAGTTTCTACTTTTCATCCTTCACAGCACGTGCTCCTGTTCTCTCCTTAGTGTGCAAATAACAGCATTTGGGCAAGCATGGAAACAAGATTAAGGAACAGGTCTCAGATAGAAAATAAACTAGCAGGAAGAAAAAACCCAAAGTTTCTTCAGGTTAATTAGATCCTTGATCCAACTCGTCTCTTGGGAGAAATGTTTGTGGCAGCACCTGGCAGCAGCTTCACGCCAACGCCACGATGCTGCCCACACCCTGCGCCTGTGCTCACCTTGTCCCCAGAACACGGCCTCGACGGCAACACCCGCGCTCGCAGGTCCTTCTCACCCAGACTTCTCTTTATCACCTACAGCAGCCCTGCCCGGCACCCCTCTGTCAATAAACGACCTCTTCATCTCCCGAGCCGCCGGCTGGGGGCGGAGGCGACCTACTTCGTGCGAAGGGTCCGACCGCACCCGGCCCCGACGCAGGCCGGGGCCTCCCAGGGCCGTGAGGCGTCAGCAGCCCCAGCGCCGGCGGCGGCGGCAGCCAGAGGCCGAGCCGTACGCCGGCACCGCAGCCTCCCGGCTTGCCTGTTCGGGACGTGCCTTGCGGGCTCGTCCGGGGCCGTCGGACGAGACGGGACGGGACGGGA